GAAGTGAGGATGTCACAACTACATCTATAAAGACATAAGGGTTTCCCAATTATGTCTATTGCTAAGTGAGTTCTTACCAAACAGAAAACGATCAAACTAAATTTCCTTTTACATCTTCTAGGCTCTTCCCTTTCTCTGGAGGTGATAGATCAGATCACCTTTCTAACAGCTCCAGATTGCCTTATTTCAATATGACCGCTTTGAAATGTTTGAGGATGTGGCTGAACACTTTCCAGCTTATGGCTGCTCCCACTGTTTAGCCAAAGGTCTTAGCTTAGGAACAGGGCCTCAGACTGTCACAGTGAAAGAAGGCCCCTACACAGGCAGACAATGATTTGATTCTTTCTTTTATAGCCTCTACAACTGGCTAAATGATAAACATATACCTAAATTCTTAAAGTATAGGCCTTTACAGACTGGCCTGAATATCTATATCCTAACAGGCTTCTCAGCCGGGAATCACAGGGTTGGTTTCAGTGCCTAGTTGGGGAGGATTTTTCCTGTTTCTGTTCTTATGATAACTTGTTTTATTGTCTTATTATTGGCACAGGTTTTCAACGGGCTAGTGATTCTGAGCCACCTCAGTGTTTGGGTATCCAGCTTGAGACACTAAAGGATGATATTCTTAGGGTGGGGGCTCAGCACTTCCTGAAGACCAGGCCTCTTGAAGGTATGTCAGGTTGCCCCCCACCCCATAAACTGAGGCACCCCTAAATCACAACTCAGTTATGAAAATCTTGACCATACACAATAACCCTTATAGGAAAGACTTTGCAGACTGCCACTGGTTGAGTTCTCCAAGCTGAGTCATTCCACTAACTGACAACACCCTCCAAGATATAACTTCCAGTACAACACTATACGTGAATCGTGGTGACAGCACAGTCCTCACTTGATAGCTTCCTCCACTCATTCAAGAGGAAGAAAGATGATCGTTATATTGATTTACTCACAGTTGTTCAAGGGGAACCCTACACCTCTGCTCCCAAAAATGGCATGCCTGAGAAAAGAATATCTCAAGGTACACTAGTGGGAACTTTAAGGAATGGTCAGCTCAGCTTCCGACATTAGTTACTCTTATCTAGGGCTTGTCTACACTGGCTCTTTACAGCGCTGCAACTTTCTTGCTCAGGGGTGTAAAAAAACACCTCCCGGAGTGCAGCAAGTTTCAGTGCAGTAAAGAGCCCGTGTATACAGCGCCCCAGTGCTGGGAGCCCCGCCCCTCGTGGAGGTGGGTTTTTTTAGAGCGCTGGGAGACCTGTCTCCCAGCGCTGTGCCGCAATGACACAAGCCACGCTGTAACATTGCCAGTGAAGACGTGCCCCTAGAGTCCTGCCCCTCTAGTCTATTCTAGTATTTTTATCATGCCTGGTACAGGGGTATCTGAGCATCTGTGTGGAAATCTAAGTGTCGTATCCAAATATAAATCAATATCAATAAACACTATGGGGGAGGGAGAGGGAATCACTACTTTTTTCTTTTTCTTTGTGCATTGTCTGTCCCCAGGTGACTTTGGGTAAAATAACAAGGTAGCAGACATCTGAGCACATTTGTAGATTCCCCCAGCTGACCTTCACCATTTCCCGGGAGAACAGATCTCTACAGGAACCAAAACACAATCAATGCTACTCAACTGCATCTTCACCCTGAATGCTGCAGTTTCTTTCAGGCTGTTCCTGGCATTAACTCAGCAACAGGAAGTTTTGGAATATATGGATATATTTTTGGAAACCAGAGTAAAGGAGGATTTCAGGCATGCATAATTTAATTACCTCTGCCTATAATGCTCCTTGGATCGAACAATATAAATGGAGATTCAGAATCACAGAGGTACACTTGAGATATAGCAAAACTGAACTTTATTTTCTACCACATCTTTCAAAGGAACAGTAGCTCAAAACTCTGTAAATTGTTAAATAATATGAGCTTGGAAAAATTGAGGGTGGGGAGGAGGGTTGTTTGAAGGCCAGAAAAGGGAGTTCAGGAGGGGATCCCGATAAAGTATGAGTTGTAGCTGTTTGATGATACCCCATATGGGTTCCAGTGTAGGGTGTGATAGGTGACATCTAGGGGCATGTGACTGGAGGAGGTTTCCAAGCACATCATCAGAAGCAAGCTCCCCACAGCCTAGGACACACCAAAGCCAAGCAATGTCAGACCCTGCCAAAACAACAGGTGCAAAATCTGCAGATATATCTCCAATGATCTACACCCCCAACAACACACCTTTCAAGACCCCGGGGTCCTATAAGTGCCTATTACAACATGTGGTGTTCCTTAGCCAGTGCACTAAATCCCCCAATAACAACTATGTGGGTGAAACCAGACACTCACTCTTGAATGAACTCACAAAGGAAACTGATAAAAGACAAAAATACCCTGTCACCTGTGGGTGAACACTTTTCACAAAGTGATCACTCTGCATCTGACCTCAGTCCCCCTCCTCAAAGGACACCTGCACAACACTTTCAAAAGATAAGTGTGGGAGATTAAATTCATAACTTTGCTAGACACTAAAATCATGAACTGAATAGAGACAATGGATTTATGGCTTATTACAACAATCTATAACCCACTAACAACCCTCCCCCAGCCACTTGGCCATGAATGGTCCCTTGATATGTGTTAACAATTTATGCTAAACCATCTGTTCCACCTTGTATTTAGCTGTGACTTTCTGCACAGGTGCCCGGGCTCCAGGAATATTCAGGGCCGGGGGCCTAGCTCCACCAATGTTTGGAGCCAGGTCTCTCCCCCGGCCCCTGCCTGCTGCCCCCAGGGTCCCAGAGCATCCCTGCCTGATTGAAAGCAGGCTGCTGCCCTGCCTCTCTGTGCTGCTCTCCCTCGCCTATCCTGCTGGCCACCGCACAAGAGCGGCATCAGCAGCAGGCAGCTGCCTTGGCGTGCACACATGATTGGCAACCCTCCTCTCCCCCAGCACCTACCTGCAGGCAATGCCCAAGAGGCTTCGGGCCTGGAGACATCTGGAGCGGACCTCACTCACCTGAGCAGCTGCTGGGGCTTTGGTGAGTGTCTCACCCTGTGATTCCCCCCAACTCCCACAGCCACCACTCCTGCCCCACGCTGGCCAAGGGGCAGCCCGATCCCCCACCACCTGTGAGGCTACAGTGAGGGGCAACAGCAGGGGAGGATGATGGCATGTCGTCCCCCCCCCCCGGCACCTACCACAGGGGAGGCAAGGGGCTTCTTGGACCTGAGAAGGGCCCTAGGAACATGTGCAGTGACAGTGGTGTGAGGTGAGTGTGCTGCTGGGGTGGGTGGGTTGGGGGAGAGTCCTCTCTGGCCCTAGCCCTGGGGCAGCCTGTCTGCACCCCAAGCTCCTCATCCCTGGCTCCTCCCCACCCCAGAGCCTGTGCCCCCAGCCACAGCCCTCACCCCCTGAACTCCAACCCCCTGCCCCAGCCCAGACCCCTCACCCAAACTCCCTCTTGAAGCCTGCCTCCTACAGCCCCTCCTGCACCCCAACTCCCCCAGCCCAGAGCCCGCACCCCAACTCCCTCCCAGAGCCCACCCCCTGAACCCCAAGCCCCAGCCCAGAGCCTGCACGCTGCACCCAGACTCCCTCCCAGAGCTTGCCCTCACACCTGCTCCTGCACCCCAATCCAGAGCCTGCCCTCAAATGCTCTCCTAGAGCCCACCTCCTGCACCCTAACCCCCTGCCCCAGCCTACAGCCCACACACTGCCCCCCAGCTCCCTCCCAGAGCCCATCCTCTGTACCCCAACTGCCTGCCCCTACCCAGAGTCTGCACCCAAACACCCTCCCAGAACCCACTCTCTGTCCTAACCCAGAGCCTGCACCCACTGCACTCTAACCCCCTGCCCCAGCCTAGAGCCCGCGCCCCGCACCCAATCGCCCTCCCAGAGCCTGACCCCTCCTGCACCCAGACTTCCTCCCAGACCCTTAGGGATGGTGGGGCGGGGGGAGCACAACTTGGACCTGTTCTGGGTACCACCAAAAATTACACAAACCTGCTGCCCCTGACTCTGCAGAAGAGTGCTGTGAAAACTCTAAGGCAGTGGTTTTCAAACTTTTTTTCTGGCAACCCAATTGAAGAAAATTGTTGATGCCCGTGACCCAACGGAGCTGGGGATGAGGAGGTTGGGGTCTGGGAGGGGCTCAGGGCTAGGGCTGAGGGTTAGGGTGAGGGTTGGGAATGAAGGGTTCAGGATGTGGGAGGGGACTCTGGCTGGAGCAGGGGGTTGGGGAGTGGGTCAGGGCTCTGTGCTGGGGGTGCAGGCTCTGGGGTGGGGCGGGAGATGAGGGGTTTGGGGTGCAGGAAGGGGCTCTGGGTTTGCAGGGGAGCTAAGGGCTGTGGTAGGGGGTTGAGGTGCAGGCTTACCTCCGTCAGCTCCCAGTCTGTGGTGCAGCCGGGGTGCAGAGGCAGGCTTCTTGCCTATCCTAGCGCCATGGTCCACGCTGTGCCCCGGAAGCGGCCATGCCCTATCCTGCCTTAGCTGAGCAGGACCACCAACAGGACTTTTAGGGATCTAGTCGGCAGTGCTGACTAGAGCCGCCGTGACCCCGTCCCTTCCATTCTGTGACCCAGTTCTGGGTCACGACCCACGGTTTGAAAACCGCTGCTCTAAGGCCTTGTCTACATTACATTCACTCTCCCCTCAACATATACAGTGGTTCTCTCTCTCTCTCTCCTATACCCTCCACCCCCACCCCCCAGCGATTTAATTACAACTGTACATTGGCGTAACTTACATCAATAAAACTCTGTAGTGTAGACAAGGCCTAAATCTTGTCTCTCACCAACAGAAGTTAGTCCAATAAAGATTTTACCTCACCCACACAGTCTCTCTAATATCCTCAAACCCACACAGCCACAACAACACTGCATAAATCAAGAAAGACCTTTATTCTGGAGAATATAGTGGTATCACGGTGCATGACAGAAGAGCAACCGGGTTATGTCATAAAGGATCAGATGGAGGAAGGAGCTTTTAAATATAGCCAGGGAATGATCAGTGTACATGAAATCCTGAGTAGGAAAAGGGCAAATTGGGGGTAATCTGGATTACGAGCCAGAACAGGGAATTGCAACTGTCTCCAACAGTGAAGGGGTTAACATTTCATTCGTCCTACTGGAATGTTAATGGACCACAGCAGAAATCCAGGAGTCTGGCTGCAACAGGAGCTCAGTCCTTGGCTTTGTTAATATTTGTGCTGGTTATTTTTCCCCTCATTCTTTCACACCTCTTCTTTCTCTCTCGTTTTTGGTCTCTCTCTCTCTCTCTCTCTGTGGCTTGTGTGGTCACGTTTGGTTTTAAGTGCCTGTTGTAATCCCATCCTCCTGGCCTGAGAGGGAGGAGGAGGAGGAGGGAAACGGCATGCGAGAAGCGAGCAACAAGATAAAATGGATAGCAGAGGCAAGAAGCCTGGAGGGTGGAAGATTGTGCTGCGAGGGAACATTAGAAAGGAAAGGGGAGACGCCCAGGATTTATAAAAACCAGCGGCTCAGGTTTTCAGGATTCCTAGCTCTTTCCTTCTCTACATGCGGGGCAAGACTCCAGATAGGAAAACCCGCAATTCCTTCTTACTGTATTTTCCAGCCCAGCTTCTGTGCCGTTTTTCCATTATGGCTTTTGCTGCTATGGTGAGTTTGATTGTTGTTGTTTTTTATACAGGGGTGCCAGGAGGCTTAATAAATCAATGGTCCTTTGAGATCCTCAGATGAAAGGCACTAGCTAGTCCAAGTACATGATATGTCGCTCCGGCCAGCTGTACAGTTCCTGTGGGGGAGATATTAGCGGAGGGCTGGGGGGGAAGCGGGGGGCGGAAACTGAATGGCTGCAGAGAGCTGTGCATGAGGGTAAACAGGGTTTTCTGCCGTTCTGGGAGCGAACTGCAGGGCGCTCTGATCGCTGGGGCAGGGGAACAGGGACTGCGGAAGCCCCAGCAGGGACAAGATGGATGCTTCGTGCTTGCTAAAGGTTGGGGGGCCAGGAGAGGTGGAGAGCAGGGGAAACGGATAGCGGTCAGGGCGCGGAAGAACAAGCCGCCCGGAGGAAAATGTAATGAAGAGCTCGTGTAAGGAAGCAAATGACGGCTTCCCAAAACGATTCCTGACGTCAGTCTGGGTGAACGTAGCCCGAATTTCCGAGGACAACCTCCCTGCAAGGAGCTTGCGGCCTGTTGGCATCTAAGGAGCAGCTGCGGCTCCCCTGCCTTGGGAGAGACTGGGAAGGGGTGAGGGCGAGAATCGGCTCAGCGGACGCTCCCTCCTCTTTGGCCACCATCACCAAGGTAACCGCCCTTCTCCCCGAGCGGTCCCGCAGCCTGTCACCTGGCCACCCTGCAGGAGAAGAAAGCCCCGGGCAAAACGAGGGCTGAGGTCTGAGATCTTCACAAATTGTTGCACAGGAAGTTTGCAGCCACGCTGGGTGTACGGTAAACGCGTGTGAGTGTCCTGGCTAGCCCTGTGTGCCTGTGGCGGGGGGAAGTGCTCGTAACCGGAACCACTGGGGGTCGGGGCCGGCTCTAGGCCCCAGCAAAACAAGCCGGTGCTAGGGGCGGCTTCCCGGCGGCGGCCATGCCCGCCGCCGCCCCAGCTCGCCTCCGCCTGCCCCGCCGAGCGCCCCGCCGCTGCTCCGCTCTTTGGCCTGCCCAGCCTGGGCGGGAGGGGGAGCAGCCGGAGGGGAGGCGGCGGAGGCGAGCTGGGGCGGGCAGCGGTTCCTCCCCCCCACCCCCCCCACTCCCATTACTTCCTGCGCCCCCCTCGCTCCGCCCGCTCCCCGGAGCGCGCTGCCTCTCCCTGGCCGGAGGGGGGACGCGGGGGAGCAGGCGGAGCGGAGGTGAGCTCGGGCGGGGGGGTTCCGGGGGGGACCCGCAGGAAGCAATGCGGGATGCCGCAGGCCCGGTGGAGGAGGTGGGGCCGGGGATTTGGGGAAGGGGTTGGGAAGGGGCGGACCCGAGGGGGGGGGCCACGAAAAAAAGCGAGGGCGGCCAAAAATCCTAGAGCCGGCCCAGCTGGGGATGGCTCTCTCTAAAGTCGCTGGGAAGATGGCTTCATGCACAACTTCTGAACTGCCATCAATGCGCCGTGCTTCAACACCTCGACTAGCATTTGCTGGGAGGGCAGGGGAACGAGCTGCTCCCCTTTACCGTTAGTCAAAGCCTGCTGCTTTGCTGCCTCTCAAAGGAGGGGTGTGCAAAATATGTGTGCGCAGGCAACCTACTTTCCAGCTGCTCTATTTTTCCCATTCCCCCTCCTTTACCAGCTGTAGGGATGGGCCTAAATAGATCAGTCCTCTGCCCTAGAGCCAGTAGCATCAGGTTTGCTGTCACTTCTTGCTGGGTGGTGGGGGTGGCACATAGGGGAAAAGGCTGCCCACAGAGCTCTGAATCTTTCCGAGTTGAATACAAAGAAAATGATCTGATGCTGCTTAAGATTTCCAACTGTTGTCGTTCAAAATAGGTGACTAATGTTTGCCTCTGAACTCTGGCTGGAATCTAGATCCTCTGGTTCACATTTTTATTGTGCAGGCTGGAAACTTTCAGACTTATTTGCAAAGGCCTTTGATCACAAGGAAGTATGTGCCTGAGGCTGTTTTTAGACAACTGAGAGGCAATAAAGATAAAGCATTTCCTGAGTGGCACAATGATGACCCCATTCCCCTGTGTTTTGTGCCCCTCAGGGGAATGGGGAGTTGTACTGCCATGCATGTGGCTAATGCAGAGGTTTTGCTAGTAATGAGTGTTAAATACCTGGGGTGCGGGGTGGTAGGAACAGCTCCTGACCTTGTGAGATCCTAGACAAGAAGTCACTTTTCTACACCCTTCTGATTCCCCTCCTACCTTTCCTCTGTCAGGTTTTGTCTATTTAGGCAGGGCGCTCTTCAGGGCAGGGCTTGTCTCTTCCTATATTTATGTACAGTGCCTAGTCAAGGGGGCTCCAATCTCAGATGGGGCCTCTAGTTGCTACATCATACAGATGATGATGATGATAACACCAGGGAGAGGAAGTCACCTGTAGGTCTGAAATTCCTATAGTGCAGAGTAAATGACACTGAGAGCTGGAGCCCCACCCCTCCAGGACAGAAAGTCAGAACCCCACTTCCTCCATGCTGGCTTAGCTCTGCTGATTAGCAGATTGGAGGAGCTTTTTGGCCAAGAGCAAAGCAGATTAACTTCACCCCTGAAGTAAAGGCGGCAACGGGGAAGGAACTATAACTGAGTCATAGTTTGGTGGTTGGTCTGCTCCTGGGATGGCATAGTTTACTCAGGGCAAATTGTAAGGGTAACCTCTGGCTACGACACCCATTTACTCACTTATTTAACAGCTTGCCTCTGGTTTCACCTTCCTTTTTCAGTACTCTTTCAGTAAGCCTGCTCAAACAGAGGTAAACAAGGTTTAATTCTTCTCCGTCAATCTCCATCAATCTCCATGCACTTGTCTAGGCTAAGAAACAAAGCCAGCTTGGACAAAACACGGCCCTTTCTGACTGGTGTGGAAAATGACTGTCCCACTGTTGTAGATGAAGCCGAACAAGTTCAACACCTGCCATAAGCCAGCCTGGCCAATCGCTAACTCTAGCAGGGGTCAGTCATGCTTTAGGTTTGTCTATATCAGCATGACAACCATTTTCACGACTGGTTGAAGTGGATGATGAGGGACCGAGAGCAGCGTCTAGCTGATAGCGGTCATTCACAGGCCACATTTAAGTGACCAGTCTCTAGCTGTTCTTATATGTGTAAGCAGAGTTTTGCAATGAAGGCCTAATTTGTTATAACAGCTCTGTTGTCACTTAGGCATCTAAATGAAATGACCAGATTTTTCATGAGTGCTCAGCACGCAACAGATCCCATTACTGTCAGTGGGAGCAATTGGGTGCTGAGCTCTTTAGAAAATCTGGCCTGAAAATGACCTCTCGAAACTAATCTCCAGCCTATCAGAATTTAGGGTATGAGTTACTGGACTAGGATGGACTACTCGTCTGACCTAGTACAGCATCTTGTCTCTAGCAATGCTTGGGACCTGAGGCTTCAGCAGAACTTGAAACCCCTGTAATACACCTAGCTGATGGTGTGAAGTGATACATGAAGTGGGAGTGAGAACAAAGGGAATTCTCTTATTTTTTCTTATGCGTTTAAGCTGGTCTGCCAGCAGGGTCTTTGCAGACCCTGTTTATTGCAACTGTTAACCTCTAAAAGTTCTTTATATTTTAGTGGGTTTTAACTACCTGACTTCCGCTTAAATCACCACACTAAAAATATCACCCTACAGCCAGAACTCATCTTCTCTGGCAAAGTAGGTTAGTAGTCAGGGCTGCTAGGCCCTGAGCCTGCAATTGAATCCCATGTAGGTGGACCTTGAACCTCCCGTGATGCCCGGGGGCTTGGTGTAGATGCAAAATTTCGCTCCCATGGATGTAATTGCAGGAGCAGGGCACAAGTCAGACTTTCCCATTAACAGGGCCAGCTCTAGGCCCCAGCAAAACAAGCAGGTGCTTGGGGCGGCTCATTTCTAGGAGCGGCATTCCGGTGCTGGCCATGCTGCCTCTCGAAATGTGCCCCCGCCGCCCCAGCTCGCCTCCGCCTGCTCCCCTGAGCGCGCCGCTGCCACTCCGCTTCTCCCCCCTCCCTTCCAGGCTTGCTGCGTGCGAAACAACTGTTTGTTACAGTCACCGTTTTGCGCAGCAAGCCTCGGAGGCGGGGGTGGAGCAGAGGTGAGCTGGGGCGGGGAGCGGTTCCTCTATCCTCAATCCACATCCCCCCCCCGCTACTTCCTGCACTCCCCCCACACCCTTGCTCACCTCCGCTCCGCCTGCTCCCCTGAACGCGCTCCTCTCCCTCGCCTGAGAGGGAGGGGGGAGAAGCAGAGTGGCGGCGTGTTCAGGGGCGCAGGCAGAGCAGAGGTGAGCAAGGGCGGGGCATTGCTGGGCGGGAGGGAATGCGGCATGCCCAGGGGAGGAGGTGGGGCCCGGGAATTGAGGATGGGGTTGGGAAGAAGCGGAGTTGGGGTGGAGCCGGGGGCATGGAAAAAAAGCGTGGGCAGCCAACATTTTTTTTGCTTGGGACAGCAAAAATCCTAGAGCTGGCCCTGCCATTATACACAACCACACATTGCTGCACACGTCTGTAATTATAACAGCTGATATTTCCATAACACTTTCTATCCTGAGGGTCTACATATTGTGAGCTGGGTGAAACATTGTTACAGGTAGAGTTAAAACCTCAGGAAGTTTGATAGGTGTGAACATAGCCTTCAATTAACATGACAGTAAGGGAAAGCACTCACCTAAGACAAAAGGAGTACAGTAGAACCTCAGAGTTACGAACTGACTGGTCAGCCACACAACTCATTTGGGCAGCACCAGCAACGACACCCTCCCCCCCCCCCCAAAAAAAAAACAACAACAAAACAAAAACCAAATACAGTACAGTACTGTGTTAAATGTAAACTTAAAAAAAGGGGCGGGGGGGGAGTTTGACAAGGTAAGGAAACTATCTGTGCTTGTTTCATTTAAATGAAGATGGTTTTCTTCTGCATAGTAAAGTTTCAAAGCTATATTAAGACAATGTTCAGTTGTAAACCTTTGAAAGAACCACCATAATGTTTTGTTCAGAGTTACAAACAACCTCTATTCCCAAGGT